GTTTGAAAAACGCTGCTGTAAAGGCTACCAAAATCACGTTTGCAGTGTTTCCAGCCAGAGGCTTGAGCGGCACCTGCTTCTGGCTACTTACGGCGCTTCGTACCATCACCGTTCTTTGTGCCCTCGGAGACCTGCTGTTTCCGAATACTGTCTTCGTCCGCTTTGCGGTCCCGGCCCGGGCAGGCGCAGATCCGAGCCTCAAAGCATCGACGGCCGAGGACTTGCCCGCTGCGGAGTGAAGAAAACGGAAACCCGTGAGCTCTTCCTACAACGGATGTGCCCACTCATCGGTTCGAGAGGGCACAAACATGGGTCACCTGGCCAAGCCACCTTCAAAACAGGGATTCACGCTGGTGGGGCAAGTGAAGTCTTCAAGTTAGTGTGTTGCATGAAAGCCAATCTGTACGTTGCATGAACCAGGTCATATTATGATTGATTCACCCAGGGGATGTCTTTACAGGACAAACCCCAGCATCTGTGCTTTGTTAACCTGGGTTTACCAAGTTGTGTGAATCCAGCCAGTGGGAAGGATGTCATACACTCCAGAAGGTGAAAGGCAATGTGCCAGAAACCCTGACATGGAGTGGATGATGCTCAAAACAAGACAGACGTGGATGTAGCAAACATCCAAGATTTGACAGCCCCAAAAGAAGCAGGGTGCAAATAGAGGCTAAATTTAGGGTTCGGTGGCCTTAGTTTTGTTTGCAATCCGTTGTCAGATCTTCCCAAACGTTACGGGGACCTCCCGCCGTTGTTACTTACTCTCTGGCTTCGAGGGTCACGATGATGAGGATGGGGCGCCTGTTCATGCCCCCGACACAGCTGCTGTTGCACATGAAATTGTACAGGACGGTGGTGAACTCTGTGCCAACCTGGTTGCACGAGAAAGAAGACTGTTTTGGCTGAACTCTGAGTTACCTAGGAATCTCAGCTGTAGGTCCCATAATTGTTGGGTGTTGCGAATGCTGATACAAGACACAAAGAAGGTGGTTTATCTCTTCCCCACCCCATCCTGCTTTCCACGGGCTCCTGGGGTTCTCCCCTCCTCAGCCGCCTTGCACCAAACCAGGCCCTTGTTCTAGCTAGCCCAATACTGACGACTGGTGAATTTGCAACCTTACAATTCAGCTGCTTCCTAATCTTTTCACTTGGCAGCGGCAGAGATGGGAATTTGGAATTTCTGCAAGACTCTTGCAGCTGAAATAAGCTACTTCTTTCCAACCGGGAAACAGGCATTACGACCACACACGGGGGCAAAAACATCTCTCTCACACCTTCCAACTTATCTCTGGAAATCTTTAAAATCTTATCAGCCTGACTTATGGGGTTGCAATACTACAGTGAGCAAACACTTCTGGATCATTTAAGAATCAGCTTCCCATTGAGTAGGCCTCTTGAAAAAAATCAAAACCCTGTTATGTATATAAATATATACACATTTAAGGATTCTCTCTTTACAGTTTACTTATCTGAACAATATTCTGCTTTGTGCCAAATGCTCAAAATGCTTCTGCTAAGACGTGTTTCAGACACTTAAAACAAGGCACGGTGCATTTTTTTTTAAGCAGCTGTATCACAGATACATATCGAATGACAATCCTGTTTAAAATCTGTTTGTGAACACAGGGTGCTTCAGGACAGACCCCAGAGAATCTGTCCTGCGTGACTCCATGACGCACCTCGCATTTTAGACGGCACTTTTCGCTTCCGCTTTGCAACAAGCCTGTTTCCCTGATGCATGGAGGAGGTTTTTGGGTGGCCTCTGAAAGGAACTGGCAGCGACACTTACAAAGCCCCCACCTGCCCTCCCAGCTCACCTGGGGTGGTTCGTAAGGAACAAGGACGCTCTGTCTCCCAGTGATGGGATCTTCCACGTATTGAGCGTGACTGTTTCCTTCAACTCGGATGAGATGACTCGGAGGAGCAATTTGGCCTGCAAAAGCATATGGAGATCAGTCAACGACTCAATATCCATGCCCTAAAAAAGGGACTCAAAGAAATTCCCTTTTTGCAAAGCTTTTCTCCAGCCTTGAGGTGAACTGGGACTGGACGCCGGCCAGAATTCAAGGAGGGTTGGACCAGGTTATGCTGCTTTCGGCGAATTTCTCAGAGCTTTTAAGATTCCCTGTCAATCTCCAGCTGAGGAAGTATCTCTTAAACCAGTGTTGTCCGAACTTGGCCACTTTAAGAAGGGTGGACTTCAACTCCCAGAATTCCCCAGCCAGCATGGGAGTTGGGACTTCTGGGAGTTGAAGTCCACAGGTCTTAAAGTGGCCAAGGTTGAGAAACACCGTCTTAAACCAATGAAGCGAGCACCTGACACGCTTATTTGTGTGTAAGCTTGTTGCAGCAATAAATCTGTTCGTCTCCACCATGAGACGAGTTTGTTTGTGCTGCAAAAGATCAATGCAGATGTTCCTCCTCTGGAAATGACTCTGTTGGGAATTGGAGCCAGCCCCTTCACCTAGTCACAGTACTTAAGAATAAAAATCATTACCCATCGATCATGAACTGCACAACTGATCCAAGAGCAAGTGAACGTGTCCCTCAAAATCCTACGCTTGGGACTGACGAGAATGCTGGGAATTTAAGCCATTGCTAAGGAATCAATGAAAACTTTTGGGGTGCCTAAACATTCCTAAGACTGTCCAAGGGAAGCTGAACCTTTAGACCAGTGTTCCTCAACCTCAGCCATTTTAAGATGGGTGGACTTCAACTTCCCCAGAGCTGGCTGGGGAATTCTGGGAGTTGAAGTCCACCCATCTTAAAATGGCTGAGGTTGAGGAACACTGCTTTAGAGACTGCTGAGATACACCTGTACAAAGCATTTAAAGAGATCCCCAAAGACTCAAGGCCATCGCCCAGCGACATCAGAGAGGTTCATGCCGCAGAGATCCAACCCTTCCCACTCCCAAATTCTCATAGCTGAACCTTAGCAAAGTGCCCCAGCCGAGGACTCACCCTCGTTAAATTCCCGGCTGAGTTCGTGATTGGGGCAGCGTTTTACCACCTCGGTGACGTGTTCGGCTTTCTTGTAGACCGGCATGGCCCGGATGACGGCCCCTTGGGGTGGGGGGGTCATCACCTTGATCTGAATGGGGCAGGTCTTGGCGATTTGGCAGTAGAGCTTCTTCAGTTCGGTGGAATACTGTGCAAAGAGAGGATAAAATGGGGGGGGGGGTTACTCACCCGAGGGCCATGGACAGGGCGAGTCTCAGGCTGGCCTGGTTGCCCCCCCCCCCGGGAGCCCGTTCACACAACGCGGGATTTTGCATCCACACCCAGGATCCCAAGGTATTCATTCACACTGCATTCATGGCGCACAAGTGGAGGTCTCCCCCCAGGGCAAGGCTTTGCAAACGCTTCTGTTTTTATGGAATTTGAAAAGAAGTACTTAAATATCCCAACAGCCAAAGATCGCTGGGCAGTTCACAATATCACACTGTTAAAAGGTACACAATGAAGCCCAATAAAGCGGAAAGCAAAGACCCCATTCTTCCACTTGGGCAGCCAGAGCAGAGCAGGGTCTGGAACCACCACAGCCCTCCTGGGGCACAGAGGCTGTAAAGCTGAACAGTCAAGAGGAACCCATGGCTACGCACACGGCTACGAGAGGGGCGGAGGGGGAAATGGCACAGAGGGGGGCTGTTTCGCAATCCTGGTGGGATTCCTGAGTGGGAAGGAGTAGCTCATTGCCCAGAGAAGCTGCAAACGTTGCTGGACAATTGCAAATCCAAGGAAGGAAGGAAGGAAGGAAGGAAGGAAGGAAGG